ATTGAAGAAAAATTATTTATAGTAAAGTAACGTGAAATTTCTATATATATTTATGCAAAGAATGAAGATACATATTATATATAAAATATATAAACTAATTTAAGCGATAACTGAGAGAAAAATAGGAATTATTTGTAAACTAGGGAAAATAAGGGCAACTGGAATGAATTTGTAATGTCATAAAACATGCAACATAACATAAAAAGTCAATATAAACTTAGAAAATCAATATAAATCGAAAAAAATCAGCATAACCTTAAAAACACGTCAACATATAAAAAGCCAAGATATCTTAAAAAAGTTGACATAAACTTAAAACAGGTCAACATAAACTTAAAAAATCAGCATAACATTAAAAAACTAACCTTTGGAAATGTTACAGTAGCCTTAAAAAAGGAAACAACATAAGCTTAAAAAAATTAAAATAAACTTTAAAAAAGGTAACATAAACTTAAAACAAATCGACATAACCTTAAAAAACTTAATAAAAACTTAAAAAAATTAACTTAACCTCAAAAATAAGCAAAAAAAATGTGTAAACAATAGATAATTACGTAACATTTAACGTTTTCCCTCAACAAAGTATTTGCTAGTGATAAAAATAAAAACAAAAATGAATTAAAAATAAAAAATTAAAAAAAAAAAATTAAAAAAATTTTAAGATGTGTATAAGAGACAGGCTATAAAATGTTTTCCATTTTGCTGAGAATAAATATGTAAACATTTTTGTATCAAAACTTCCAGATTGGGTTGGATTTTTTCTTAGAAATATTTTTTTTTTTTTTTTTTTGGAAAACGTAATTAAAATTTGTTTTTTTTTATTCTACTATTCAAATTTTTAGTAATTTTGTTATGTGATTTTTTATATATATTTTTTCAATCAATGAGTGCTGCAAAAAATTTTGAGTTTTCTTCTATCTTTTTAAGAGTACTGCACGTAAAAATTGATACAGTTAAAGCACAGCACTAAAACCTACATTGCTTTATATAGTATGGAAATTTTTGAATTTAAGTATTTTTTTAAGGATTTCTAAGAAAAAGTGTTACATTTGTTAAACAAATTTAAAATAACCTTTATTGAATATTAAAAAGGCTAATTTAAAAATTTGTTGCTATTATTAATTATATAATTAAATATATTTAATCTGTCTCTTATACACATCTAGATGTGTATAAGAGACAGGTGTATATGTTTGCTTATTCATATGGAAAATGTTNCATATACTTACATATTGAATAAAATTTTACACAAAGTACTCAAGCATACACACACACAATAGCTTAGCATTAAAGTTTAGCCGATATTTAGCAAGAATTTTCTTCATTTTTTGGTCACAGTGAAAAATATTTAACAAAAAAATACAAACGAAACTTAACATACTTAACTAGAACAATGCTAACAATCTAATAATAAATATATAAATAAATAAAAAAAATACGAAATTTGCAAATTTTTATTAATATAGTGACTTTATTAGCGCAAAGATGTTTGAACTTAAAATTATTATTTCTTTCATTTTTTAATACTGTTAAAGAATTATGAAACAAATTACGCATGTTACAAAAATTTGGTACTTAATGGATAAGGGACATTTTGCAACAACAACATAAATAAATAATTTTTATGATTCTTTTTAATTTAATAAAAAATTATTTTTATTGTTATTTATATGTACATACATATCTATGTACGCTTATGTAGCGCAAATAGCGTTTTCATTTTCAAACGAGTAACCATAATACGATGTAACGGTTACTCGCGCGCATGTAAATATATTTCACACTTCTCCCACTTCACCACATTTTATACTAAGTATTACACTTAAAATTATTTATTTCCATCAATGTTAAATTTTCAGTTTTGTAGTTTTGTAAGCTTTGTGTTCACTAGCCAAATCGCAAAGAAAAATATTTGTATTTAGCGAATAACGGTTACATTTATTTGCGCGTTTTTTATTTGTAATTAGCAAGTAATTACCTTTGTAAAAGAGCTGCTGTAGAATGTTATGAATAAAGTGATTGCAGTCAAGTGAACGTCACTTTTGTATTTTACTGTCTGTCACGTGTTTGTTGTCACATAACTGTCAAAAATTAACAACACGCCTTATATTCTCTCACTTTTTCCGCCAAAACAATAGTTACTCGATATGTACAAAATGGAGGAGGAGGCCTACAAAATACAAGGCAAGTCGGAATTCTATGCCTAGAACCCAACTATAACCGCAGAGCAGCCACTCTTATAATATTGGTGTGCACGTGACATGGTGAAGTGGTGGAAAACAATTAAACGCTTACAGTGTAAGCCTGTCATGGAAACGAAACGGCAGTTGGCAGCACTTATGCGAAAGTTTAAAATGCAATCGAAATAATAAGTATTTAATATTTATTTAGTTATTTATAGCAACTAAAGAGTATAAATTAAGAATCAAAACAAAACAAGAAAAATCTAAAGATTAGAACGCAATTCTATGTAAAACCTTTCAAAGCGAATATTGAAGAAAAATTATTTATAGTAAAGTAACGTGAAATTTCTATATATATTTATGCAAAGAATGAAGATACATATTATATATAAAATATATAAAC